AACGGGAAAGCGGGGAAACGGTAAAGCGGGGAAACGGGAAACCGGGGAAACGGGAAAGCGGGGAAAGCGGGGAACCGGGAAAGTGGGGAACCGGGAAAGCGGGGAAACGGGAGAGTGGGGAATCGGGAAAGTGGGGAATCGGGAAAGTGGGGAACCGGGAAAGCAGGGAAACGGGAGAGTGGGGAAATGGGAGAGTGTGGAAACGGGAAAGTGGGAAAACGGGAAAGTGGGAAAACGGGAAAGTGGGGAAACGGGAAAGTGGGAACATGGGAAAACGGGGAAACGGGAGAGCAGGGGAACGGGAAAGCAGGGGAACGGGAAAGCAGGGAAACGGGAAAGCGGGGAAACGGGACGCGCACCAAGAGCACGCGCGACCAAAGCAAGCGCACCCGAAGCCAGCGCACTCGGAGCCAGCGCACTTGGAGCCAGCGCACTTGGAGCCAGCGCACTCGGAGCTAGCGCATGTGTAGTGAGTCTAGCGATACCGAGTCGCCGCGAAGCGGCGACCGGGAGCGCTAGGTATTTATATTCGTTGTCACCAATAGGTCGTCAGGCGCCATTCAGGTTCTCGAAATGATTGTGTTCCGATTCTTTCACTTGAAGGGCCAATATACTCGGCGAAGATCAAAACCAAGGAAAAAAATAACGCCGCGGACGGACATCGCCTCCAAAAAGATCTTTGGCGTGCCAGATGCCTACAATGTGAAGCAGTTCGTCAAGGATAAGGAATCAATACTTCAGCGCAAAGCAACCGGTGAAAAATGGACAACGCTTCGATATAGAAATTCAAGTCGCTGTGCAGCCCGAGTACGAGAAGCGAGCTCTTTATCATTGGGCACGGCTGTACGCCGGGCAACTGAATCATGGTGATGACTACTCTGTGCTGAACAAGGCAATCGGGATTCGCAAACCGGGAATTGAAACTTTTTCAAGCTGATCCAAACAGCCAAGGTTTAACGTCCCGGGTACTGTTATTTACATTGCTTCCGAGGACGGATCCATAGAGCGAATGTACCCAGGAGGATCAAGGCCGACATATTTTTCCGGCAGCAGGGATCGAACCCACACCGCCTCCCGCGCGAGCGGCGTCGTTGCGGCATTTCACGAAGTGAAACGCACGTTTGCACGAGTAGTGAGAAACGCGCTAACCACTCGACCGCCCGTCGGTGCAAACCGGGAGTTATCACCACTCCTTCCGAATCACCGAAAAGTAGAATGGGCAGGCATTTCTCCCGGATCTGAAACTGCATACTATAGAGCTGAGTAAATTCATCAAGAGTGCGAGTGAGACTCTACCAAATGTAAATTAGAGGGTGGAGAGCTCTCTGAACAGATGGGCCACATTCTTGACAAAGCACGACGAACTCGACAAGAACAACCTCTCTCGCGAACAAGACGATACGAACATTAGAAAGGCTCTGCATGTTCTCGAAGTTATGATGTTTAGCCCAGAAGAAAGAGACGCTCACGAAGCTCGCTTGAAGCACCTCCGCCGCGATGCAAGCTGGGAAAAATTCATCGAGTTCAATAGGACGGAAGCCAGGATAGAGGGTAAGATGGGGGGTATCAGAGAGGCTGCGAAACTACTCAAAGAGAATGGAGGGTCTATCGAAATCATCTCCCGAACTTGTGGAATGACAAAGGAAGAGGTGGATGAATTAACTTTGAGGCATTAACTTTGACTTTCTCCGATTCTGTTGACCCTCATGCTCTCTCTTGTCATGCAGAAACCCTCTGTGGGGCATATTCGTATTCGTGAATACGAGTACAAATATTTACGATAATTCTATGAATACGCCCGTATTCATACGAATGAGACTACCACTGTATAATGAGGCTACGAAAAGGAGCTGAGAGGCTGATGGGGGGTTTCTGGGCACGTTGAGGTCGATTCCGGGGTCAGGGCTCCCCTGAGATTTGAGCTATCGGTTATAGCGTCATTCGTATGAATGTTGGCGTATTCACAAATATCCTATGAATACGGATCTATCTATATATATATAAAAACGTATGTCTGTCTATCTGTCTTTTCGTTTGTATGTCCTTATTTTTTGAGGGCTCCACCCAAGAATATACGAAAACTCGGAAAAAAATGGAAAAATCTAAAAATCGCAGAATTCACAAACGCCTGATCCGATCGCCGCAAAAATTCAGGGGTTGGTTCCCGGGAGCTTCGGGATGGTCATATTAGGGTCGTCCTTATCATACGATGGGGGTTGCCGTCATCATTGGCCTCTGTCTTTCTACGAATTTATCTCGCTGAATATTGCTGTAGCCGTGGAGGATATAGATTTTCCGAAGAACATAGGGAACTAGTAGGGAATAAAAGCGAGGAAACGGGGGAGTGGGGAAACGGGACAGCGGGGAAATGGGGGAAGCGGGGGAGACTGGAAAGTAGGGAAACGGGACAGCGGGGAAACGGGGGAAGCGGGGGAGACTGGAAAGTGGGGATACCGGAAAACGGGGAAACGGGAAAGCGGGGGAACGGGAAAGCGGGGAAACGGGACGCGCACCCAGAGCACGCGTGCCCAAAGCAGGCGCACCCGGAGCCAGCGCATGTGTAGGGTGTAGTGTTTAACCACTGAAGAGAATACGACCGAATACGTCGGCGTCTACACTGGAAGTGATTTATTGTACTTCGTCGTTTACAGCTACTGACTATGCTACCCGTGCGGGCGCTGTCCGCCACATAGGGAGCCTAGCGATTCCGAGTCGCGGCCAAGCGGCGACCGGGAGCGCTAGTATATATACATAAAGACGAATACGAATCTATTCATATCCGTATTCTTGCAAAAAAAATTCATTATATTCGTACTGGTATTCACGA